ATAAAATCATTCAAATATACTCAAGCCATTTCTCTCTAGTCCTTGCTTTCCTCTTCGCCTAGCCTAAAATTTAAGAGAATTTTGAAAACACAAAGGAGAAAACTATATAGCATTTTAAAATATGTTGTTTAAAAAATAAATCCACTTTTCAAATAGACCAAATGCCCTACTCAATTCTTGATTTAGCAAGTTACGGGATAGTAACATTATTAAAGATAATACAAATAAAATAATCTACATGGATTTCCCCCTCAATTTTGCTCTAATAACTCAGCTCTAAAATAAAAGAGAAAATTACACAGAGAAACAGAGGTTTAATCTCTAGAAAGAACAGGAAGCAGAATCATGAATTCCAGCACTTTCTCTCCCTTTGGATTCTCATCTATGTATTTGGCATAATCTGATAACAATATAAGTCGTTGGGCAAGGCACCCAAAGATTGTCTTCACCGACAAACATAAAACCATACAGGCAGCAACACAGGCAAAAATTTCTCTTTTGAGCAAAAGAGAAACAGTGCCCAAAGTTCCCAGGCACAAAGAGAGCTATAGATGGCTCCAGAGAGAGCAGAAAGGGAACACAGAGCGACCCAACAATAACAGAACATTTATTTGACCATAGCCTGAATAATTTCATTCCCTAAACAGAGCCAAAAAAATTAAAAGTTCCAAACTCAATTTAATTTTCTTGAAAGTCTGAAACCACATTTAACAACAGAGTTAGTGAGCTACTGAATATAAGCATCATAGAAGACACATAAAAACAAATACCAAATATTAGTGAAATCTTGTACATAGTATTCCGATAGACCAAAAGATCAATTATAGAGCAGACCAGCATAAGACCCCACGGTATTCAAAGATGGGCCGTTCACCTCTCTTGTTATACGATAAAAAGAATCTATGCTCTGATTTTCAGATATTAGCATTATATTAAGATGCTATCATGTATTAGATATTTAATTATACGTGAGAGTAGGATGTGGATTGAAATACAGTTCTTTCATAAAGACCATGCAAATATTATGACAACTGTCATTTTTACCAAAGTATTTTTAATATCAATACTATCCCCTACATTTTTATTGGGTCTGCCTTGTAAAGCTAATAAATATAACTTATTGTATTACAACAGCAATTTTTTACCTCTTTACTGCAAATGAAATGGATATTTTAAAGGTCTTTTTTTATCTGTAATGGGTATCTTTTTTAATTTAAAATTTTTTTTATTGCAACAGATTTGGGGGTACAAGTGGTTTTTGTTACATGAATAAATTACGTATAGTGGTGGAGTCAGGGCTTTTAATGTTCCTGTCACCTGAATAGTGGACATTTTACCCAATACATAATTTTTGATCCCTAACCCCCCCTCACCCTCCCCGCTTCTGAGTCTTCAAAGTCCATTATATCACTCAATATTAAAATTTTTTTAAATTTTCTTCTGTGCCTAATCCAAGGCTTTGCAAAGAGTAGGTAGAAAATAAATAAATCTTAAAAAGAGAAGGAAACCTAGAGGTCAAAAGTTACATAGAATCTTCTATGTCCATGTGATGTGTCTTAACCTATCAATCTAGTAACCTAGCAAAGAAAAGAATAGAAGAATGGAAAGAATGAATTATTCAGTAAATCTTTCTACCCTCTTTTTTGGTGGAGAGAGTGGTAAAGATACAAGAGTAGGATTTTGAGCTGGCACCTTTTACTTACTTTTCCTACTTTAAAATTTTCGACATATAGTAGAACAGAAAAAAATTAGATCTATAAACTACATTTATTAGATTATTATTAATAAACTTCTGAATACTGCTTAATAGTACTAAAAGTAGCATAATAGTTTATAACATTTGCAATGAAGAATCCAAATAAGGATATTACTTTTAATGCATCTACCTTTACAAACCATACCTCCAGATCACACATAATTTACTCAGTAATTTAGAGCATGTCGATACTTAGGCTTTTCTGAAAATTTTTCACTATTGGATATATTTAGAAATAAAATTAAGGCCAGGTGAGGTGGCTCAGGCCTGTAATCCTAGCACTTGGGGAGGCCAAGGCAGGAGGATTGCTGAGGTCAGGAGTTCAAGACCAGCCTGAGCAAGAACAAGACCCCGTCTCTACTAAAATAGAAAAAATTAGCTGGGCACAGTGACACGTGCTCCTATAGTCCCAGCTTCTCGGGAGGCTGAGGCAGGAGCATTGCTTGAGCCCAGGAGTTTGAGGTTGCAGTGAGCTATGATGATGCCACTGCACTCTAGTCCAGGCAACAGAGTGAGAATCTGTCTCAAAAAAAATAAACAAATAAAATTAAAATAGTTACATACCTGTCTTCAACAGTCGTTAAGTAAGCCTTCTCGCTTTTACAGGTTTCATTTGCTTCTGTAAATGTTGACAGTGTGTGTCCAATCAAGTAGCAGTAAAACCCATATCTTTTCCAGCCCTATTAATGTTTTCAAGCAATGAAGAAACAAGCAGATTATCATGCATATTTATTAGGAAATATTATTTTAACGATTCTTCTATCATGAAACGAATTAATGAATAATAGAAATGTCTAAAAAACACAAATATGAAGAATTAGAAATGCAATGAAAATTATCTGTATAAATGAATAAAGAAAGCAGTAGTGCATTGTTCCTCAGATAACAAATTATAATATGATACATAATGGGGAGGCTGTCATTGTCTCCACTTCTGATGCATTTTCCAAAAAAAAACTGCTCGTGAAACGTTCACTGAGGAACTGAATGGATTGGCTAAGATTTCAGTTTTAGAGTAAGTAACCACAGGAAATAATTTGGGGAATAGCAATCCTAGTTGCCTACTGACGCCCACAGTAGATGATGAGTGTAAAAGCTACATCATCTGGTCATAAGAGGGCACTTACTAAACTGAGCAATATGATTTGGTATGTTTCCTCTCCCATATACACAGAAATACACAGAAATGCTAAATAAAAACATAATAATAAATTAAAAATCCATATTAGAGTTTGGAAGAAAGAAGCAGAAATCTTCCAGGCCAAAAATAAGTAAAATACTAAAAGCTGAATGGAAAATACACACACTGAGATTATCATTGCCCAGGGGTGTATCAGATCTAGATTAAGGTCCAAGAGGCTGTAGTATTAATATCCATACAGAATGCAATATTTGGCCTTTGGCCCACCTGACACAAGGAGTTGGAACTGAGGTTCTTATATAAAGATGATCCCAGTAAGGGTATCACACGCTACCCACAGAACCAGGAAATGACAGTCTTTTCTTCTGCCTGGGGTTGTAGGTGCCAGAAAAAAACTCTTCAGTTTGAAAATAAATGCTAAGTCTGTGCCACAGATGGGCGACAGCTCCAACCTTACACTATCCACATTGTGTGACAATTCACGGCCAAAATATTAAAGTAATACTTTATCTACAAAAAATTTTAAGCACTCAAAGAAGTAGAATGCTAAACCACACAACAGAAATATTTCCACAAACCAGATCATGTGAGACTATGACGTTTGGGAGTAGGGGTGGGAATGGAGATAGGAACTAACTCACAATCAAAAATTACAAACCATGTGAGAAAATGTCCCATTGTAAGGGAGAGTCAACAACTTAACATAATAGAACACTCTGAGAAAATATTATAAAAATAAACATGTTTGAGATGATTTAGTGGCAAAACTAAAAACATAACCAATAGCAAAAGATCAAAATACTATGCACAAAGAACAAGAGGATATGAACCAAAAAATAGAATTTCTAGAAAAAAATATAGTAATGAAGTTAAAAACTCAATGGTTAGATTAATATAGTAAACAGGGTTTCAGAGAGAATTAGTAAATTAGATGTATAGCACAGAAAGAGAAGAAAATATGAAAAGAGGTTAAAAACGCATTGACAGAAAACAAAGATCATAGAATGAGAAGGTTGAACACTGACCTACGTTTCAGACACTGTGAATAAAATCAATGACTAATAATTTTCAAAAAATTGAAAGATAGCTATGAATCCTCAAAAAGAAGAATCACACTAAGGACCAAAGGGAACAAATGAAATAATTCCAAATGTAGACACATTGTCGTAAACCTGCAGAACAACAAAGACAACGAGAAGATCTTAAAGTCAACCAGAGATGAGATAGAATACCTACTTAAAAACAGAAGAATTAGTGTGAGAACAGGAATTCCAGTGGCAAAAATAAGGGCAAGAAGAAATATATAAATTCCTGTCAGAAAATAGTTGTCAATCTAGAATTCTAAACTGATTTAGCTAAACTATTACTCAGGGTGAGGATAAATTTAAGACACTTAAAGACAAAAACAGAGAGTTTCCTATTCCAAGATCCCCAGGCAAAGAACTAATAAAATATTTACTTCGGAAAGCAGGAATTTTAACTCGGGAGGAATGAGTGGCCTAAAATTCTATAACTAAAGAAATTGATATATGTCTTAGTAAATCCAGGTCTAATTGCCTATACTAATAGCAATGATAATTAATTAGAAGCTGGGAGGCTTCAAGGATGGAATAGGAATAAGTTAACAGTATCATGTCAATGTCAATTCCTTGGTTGTGATAATGTCCTATCGTTAAATAAAATATTATTGTTGGAGGAAG